GTGTCTATTTGTGCGCAAGATAATCACCATGAGAGGAACTGATTATCACACACCCTTTATGGCAAACACACACCAAATAATATTAATAAACCAAAAAGAAACAAAAACCAAAATACGTCGACGGATGAGGATGTAGACGAGGCATAGTCATAATAAGTGAATATCGTCATGCCTCTTGGAGAAACGCACAGTACGCTATGACCAATCACGCATATAGGCTTAAATCAAGAACATACATAAACAAGTAAATTGATAGGATGCAAATAGAGAATAATCAGTTTGAGGTTAAGGAGCAAATCAAATCGAGAAAATGTATAGAAGGCATAAGAATTCAATATGCAACTCATTGCCCTAGCAACTTGAATGGGACGAGAATAAGAATGTACTTATCCATCTCCTCTAAAGAATTCCCCTTCCTCTTCGGGCCTTTTTCTCTCCTTTTTATAGACAATAATTAAAATTTTTTCTCTTAATGATAGAGTCATTTATATCAAATAAAATCTTCGTTTGATTAGTTTTTTTCATTATTTCATATTTCTAATTTGATAGAAACAAAATTGAGGGGATTTGGGGGCCACCAAAAAGAAAAAAATTCTTTAAAATTATGAAAATATTTTTTTATTTTAATTTTTTTTATAAAATCCTATTTTTTCTTTATTTAGTTTATTTATTTAATTTACTCAATTTTATTGAACTTTTTATTTATTTTAAATTTACATTTGGAAGCTCAAACAAAATATGGTGTTCACTTCTTTTATAATTTCATTATTTATAATCATAAGTCATAACAAACAATTAAAAAAGGTTATTTTAGAGCAATTTTTTTATTTTATAATACAATTAATATAGTCATTCATTTTTTTTATTTTTTTTTTATAAATAAAAATGGAGGGAGGATAAAATATACTTGCTGGAGAGTCCCACATCGTTCGTGTCAAAAGAACATGCAGGCACGGACAGCTATTAAAAGAAAAAAAAAAAAGGTGGGGAGCATACTTAACCTGCCATTATTAGAGGCTGATCTTTGCTTTAGTAAAAACTACAGTTCAGGGCCCAGAAATTTAAGTATTTAAATTTAATTTTTTAGTTGTGCTTTTTTTTTTTTAATCTAGCCTAGTTTTCCAAGAGAATTGGCCCAATTTTCAACTAATTTAATTAGTTATTGATCAATTTTTTATAGTCAATTTTAAGGTGATAATTGAAATGAGCCAAGAGTCAATTCTCAATTCAATCAAATGTTAAAATTGGTGAGACAACAGGTCAAACATAAGCTTTCTATAAAGTCAAACTTCAAGGCACATCAGTAGCCCGCTTGCAAGATGTCCACACTACTTTACAAGTATGCCCAATGACTTTTAAACATAGTGCTAATGGTAAAGAAAAATGTGAAACTATGAGTCTTTAAATTTTTGAAATCTTTACTTGACTACGCCTAAATACACATATGCAAGGTCTATCATAAATAGGTTAATAGATGTTAGGACCAAGATTGCATTATTATTATTATTATTTATGAATTGCTTCTTAGGCTCTAAGCAAATATTTTTTACTAAAAAAGACATTCATAAGAGCACTTTCAAATGGCCGAGGCTTTATTAAGACATTTGAATGAGTAGTTATATCTTTCGGTCTCAACAACACTTGGGCACCTATCAGCGAGTTATGAATGCCATTTTCTACAATATGATGGGAAAACACTTAGAAATATATATAGATGATATAATGGTTAAATCAAGAAAGATATCACCGTCATCATCAACATAAAAAACAACCATAGCTCATACCAAATTATCTTATATACCATAGTTAGTTTTAGCTTTATTTTCAACTTGTAATTATAGTAACTCTATATCTCATCTCCCATTAATCAAAAACACTTTTTTACACCAATCTCTTTATATCTTTGCATTCAAGTAAATTAAGATAATAGAGTCTAAAAACCTTATAATTATTTTTGAGACTTTACATCTCCGGCACACTTGAGTTTTGTTATTCACATATACTCTACAACTTGTGAAGGACAATAGCCTTGGCTAAAATAATAAGCCGGAGGTTGACTGAAATTAGTGCACCGTAGTTTTGCAAAGTACACACTTCAATCCCCTGAATTTGGATCCATGCGCCATGAGATAATTTGCGTCTCTTGCAACTGTAAAAATAAAGGAAGTGAGCTAATTGATGGCCAGTTTAATTTGTAAATCAAACTGTGTTCTGAGGTCAATCACACAATTTTATGTGAAGTTGAAAGATTAAATATGTAGCTTTGTTCAATAATACTTCCTGTCTTAATGCATAAAATATTTTTAGACAAAGCCAAACAAACTAAAAGAAATCATTAAATATATTTTACTATATTTTTTTTAAAAAATACAAACTTTTAAAAAGATCATTCATTTAATATTTCATTTGTAAAAAATATTAAAAAAATATAATATAATGATATGATAATATTGAGAAAGCATTACTAATGAAACTTGTTTCTATTAAAACTCTTTTAAATTGTCTTATAAACTGGTGCATACCATCAATGGAAGTGACAAACACGCGCCCAGGCTGAATGTTGTGGGGTGACCGGTCTGCAATTCACCAGATTGTGAGAAGCTGCAGTGCGCCCCACGTCATGCATGGCCATGCTACCGCCCACCTTCCTTCGAACTTGCGCGGATCCCGCCCCCGCCTCTCCTAACCGCTAACTAATCAGATTAATTTCGTAAACATTTAATTTAATTAATTAACTAAGCCGTTATAGAGTACTCTTTTAATATTATTTATAAATTATTTTTATTAATTTCATTAATATTAATATAAAAAATAAAAAAATATGTAAAATTTTAACCATATTATTATATAATAAATATAAAAGTAATGTTATTTTATTTTTTCTCTCTTTTAAAAACTAATTTTAAAAATAACTTTTAAATATTATTTTAAAAAACCACACCTTAATTTACAAATGTGATCAAATGGCTTTTAAAATGTAAATTTAAATTTGATAACTTTATTTAATATAAGAACTTAATGCCTATATCATTTAAATATTTAAAATTTAAATTAATGATTATAAATTTATAATCTATTTAAAATTAATAAATTAATCTAAATTTTAATAATTTAAATAATATAAACACTCAATATTTATATTAAATATAATTATTAAACCTAAATTCTCAGAGTGTGGCTTATAAATAAAATAGAGAGTAGTATTTAGGCGGTGGGGTCTATTATTGTGTTTGAGGTGTCTTCCTCTTGTATTTCTTTAAAGCTTGTTTGGTTGAAAGAAAGGAAAGAAAGAGAAAATTTTAAAAAACTTCTCCTTCTCTCTATCTTACCAAACAAAAGAGAAGGGAACCCTTTCTCTCTCCTTATTCCATCCAAACAAGGGAGGAGGGGGGAGATTTTTTTTTTTTTTTCTCTCTAATTTGAGGGTTGCCTTCCTTCCCCCCTCTTCTTCCGTTCCCTCTCTTCTCTCACCTCTCTTTCTCTTCATTCCCTGCTTTTCCTTTTTGTTTTTTTTCCTGAACCAAACAGACACTTAGGGCGCGGTAACCCAAAACTTTTCAGCTTTCAGTTTTCATGAAAACGAGTGAAACGACACGTTGAGCCCCACTCGACACAACAAATTGGAAGTTATTGGCTTATTCTTAGTTTCATTACCGCCCCCACAGTTTGCCATTTTGCAATTACCTCCCCTTATTAATAGTCTACTATGTCCTCACCCCTCACCCCTCCCCCTCACCCCCAGAGCCTGACGACACTGTGCCATGCAGGTACCTCTTGTCCCTCTCTCATTCCTTTTTTCGTGCCAACTTGTCCCTCTCCCATTCACGTGCGAAGATCTCAAACTCCTGTCCTCTCTTCCATTTTATTTATAAATAATTTTTATTAATTTTATTAATATTAATATAATAAAAATATAAACATAACTTTTTAAAAAATAAATAAATTATATAATATTTTTTTATTTTTTCTCTCTTACTTTTTAAAAATAATTTAAATATTTTATTTAAAATAAAATATCACTATCAATTCAATAACTTATAAAATAAATTACTTTATTTTTTTAGAGTGTGATTAATAAAATAAATAGGAGGGAGTACTTCATTTTAGTGGTGTACATAAAAAATTACTGCATGGTGTGCTTTTAATTTAACTATCGTCAATGCTGTGTCATAACCTTGCAAAGGAATTTTTTCTTTGTGATCTCAGTAGCAAATTTAAATGAAAAATTAATTTGATAGCAGAAATTGATCATTGTGCCAAATGTGAGAAATTGATATCACAGCGTGTTAAGTCCTTGCTGAACACTTTTTTTATGAATTGAAAGCAATATGATTTAAATGAAATGAAATGTGAAGCCCAGACAACCCATATGATAACCTTTGAATTTTTGATGAATTTTAAAAGATCGTAACTAAATCTAAATAATTCATATAAGGATGTTTTAATTTTTTTTTTGAAACCTCTTGAAATCTTTCATACGATAAAAATATATTCATAACTCTTTATTTGTTTTAAAAAATACAATTTATTCGTTTTCTAAAACTGCTTTATTTTTTAGATAGAATCCGTGCCTTAATTTTAAAAATTCATATATTGAATTATAGAGTTTTTATTGATTCGATTGTGAACTTCTTGAAAAGCTTATGGTGTCTACGTTATGCATACAAATTATCAAAGTCAACGTGATCTATTTACTATACATCAAAGCATCCTGTCATTTTTATCACGTTAAAAATGATGTTATGACGAGATGAAATGCAAGTATTTTAGAAAGGATCATAAAATTTAAAATAATTAAATTTAATATACCATAAATTTATAATTTTATAAATAACAAAAATTCATGCAATAATTTTTTTTGGAGATAAACATAGCACTTGTCACCCCAAATTTAACCTTTTAGCATTGCTTGAGAAATTTACTAGGAGAGTTAAATTACAATTAACGAAAATTTAGGCCGCTGCTTGAAATTTTTGGTTCTATCCGAGTTTTGTGTCTTTTTTTGGCCCCATGATTCATCCTCCACCAAAACATCCAACAACCGCCTCTTCCTATTATTATCCCGCTGTTTGCCTCTGAAAGATCCAGCAGTGGAAACCAGAAAAGAGGTACAAATTGCTGATAAATTTCTCTACGATATTGATTTTCATGCTATCCGGTTCTTTTCGCGATCATCTCGTTTCTTTTCGTTTATTTTGCGTGACTTCATTTGCGTTACAAGTAATTATTCCTTTCGTTTATTTTGCATGCATTTGTCAGGCTTCATTTGCGTTACAAGTAATTGCGTCCCCAACAATTTGAAGTTATGTTGGGGGTTTTATTACTTGATTTGGCTTTTATTTGTGCCAGAAAAATTTAAAAATTCAGCAGTTCCATTGTTGTCGTCCGTTTTAGAATCCGGTACGATTTTTTACGTGGAGGGCTTCAAAACCTAAATATTAGTAGAGCTGTCATGCTCAAGAAATACAAATTTATTGATCGTTAAAAGCATATCAAATGGTTTTGAGATTCTAAGAAACGATCATCATCAATGATTTAAAGGGAGTCATAATGCTTTTTTTTTTTTTGGTCCAACAGAATGCTAAATTTTCACTTGTGTCTACCTATTCAAATCTGCATCGAATTGAGTCGTCAATTTAGTGTATACAGTCCAACTGTGTGCTGGTTCGGAATCATGTTGAGCAATGGAGCGGAATCAGCAATTTGTTCGTCAACTGCAACTTTAGAACATGAGCTAAGTCTATAAATATGGACACAAAAGAAGATGGTGAATCCATTGATGATCATGGCTCTTCGCCAATCATGGTCCTGCAGCAGTTGCCTGAGGTCGCTATCGGAGTTGCTGGGGAAGCATTGCATAATGAGAAGACTGCCGATTTTTCACCCAAGGTGCCTCATGGACATAGACGCTGTCAAAGTGAAGTTGCAACTGCAGGACTTCGAAAGAGTGATAGCTATCAGAAGTTGAAGAATCATATGCAGAAGGCTTGGCGGGGAGGAAGCAAATCTCATGAAGAAGGTTCCCCTTTGACTTTTAACCCTGAGGTCTTATCGAACCAAAAACGTCAGTGGTATCAGCTTAATTCCAAAACCCAGGTATTCAATTTTGTTCTGCTTTATTCTACTATCAGAATTCCGTTAGTGTCCGTGTGATTCTTACTTCTGAAAATCATATCTGCCTGATTGATTTGGAAGTTGCTCCATCCATTACATCCCTCACAAGTTTGTTGGAAATTTAAACGTATCAATCCGTTCCAAGAATTTCAATGTGGATCATACTGTAGGGTTGCTCAAATTATAAAGAGCCAACCTCGCTGTTCGAACATTTTGTGATTGTGGGGCTGCATCCAGATGCAAATCTAGAAGCTGTGGAGGTTGCATTTGCAAATAGGAAGAAGTGGGAAAAGGAGGACAAATATGCAGCTTCAGAGTTCAAAAAGATGCAGCAACAGGAGTCTCCAGTGCCAATGTTGGAACCTCAGGTATGTTAGATAGCAATTTTGCTTGTATATGTAAAATTGCTATGAACAATTTTCATATCGAAATGCAGAGACAATATCCGATCTGTTTTATCAAAAACACAAAAGAACCCCAATGTACGTTATTGGATATATATAGTGCCTGTGATTCTCTGTTGATGAACTTTTTATGGTCAATCTTCTCGTCTTTTTATTGAAATATATCTAATTTTATAGTAATTATGCATGTCTAGTATCTGTGATTCTCTTCTGATGAATTCAGAAGATTATGAAATAAACCTGTTATATCTTTACCTTGATAATGGAATGGATTTCATCTGAGGACATCTTATGCTCCTGAATCTATCTAATTTACCCATTTTTATGGTTACAACTCAGTCAATTATCAGTGATCAATGAATTCTCTGTGTCTGATATCTATAGTTCATTATTTCTGCATCAGATCCTTTTCAAATATCCTCCTGGGAAGAAGCTGACCATGCGCATGAAGGATTTAGCCTCTTTTTGCTTTCCTGGAGGTGTCAAGGTGAGCTGATTCCATTTCTAATCAACTGAATTAGATGTCCTAAATGCTTTGCATTGTTAAATGCTATTGTATGAATTGTTTGCTGAAAATGTTTGTTATAGTTTTATTTTGTTCTAATTTTGGAGGTACTTAATTGGTCCCACTATTGTCGGTCACTCTTGCTCCTCCTTCAAATGCATGAAGGATTTATATTTTCCTTATTTACTATTGTTTTTTGTGTCTTGATTTTGAAGTCGACATCGTCAGATTGTATTGAATGAATATGGAAAAATAATTTACCATGTTACGAGTGGAATTTCCTATCCAACATCAGCTAACTTGAATAAATCATGTTATTGATGCTTCACAGCTGCATTAAACTAGTAAGCGGCCATTGGGTTCTCTATTCTTACTTGATTTATGTTGCCGAAAGATACTGTGTTTTGTGATTTGCTTCTTCTCCTGTTGGTGCTAATATTTGTTTCTTAATTGTTTCATTTGTTGGATGTTGATTTACAGGCATCGTTGTTGGAGAGGACTCCATCACTAAGTGAACTGAATGAACTTGTGTATGGACAGGTATTCCAAATCAGCAGACATTCCTCACTAAGACAAGCTGGTTAAACTGAAGCATCGTCATTGTAAAATATACTTGTTTAATTTATGAAATTTATAATATGCACATAATTTGATACTTGGTGCAACTAGTAGTATAGAGAACAACTATGAAGCTGCCTCTATATTCCTTGAATTTTTTTTCCATGCTATCTTCTACCTTTATTTCTTGTATCTACGAAGTTGGGAAGTTATTGTTACTAAGTCTCTGTTCACTCTTTTACCACCCACTTTTCTTGCTGGAACGATTCTCTCATCTCTCATGGAGTCAATCAAATGGATCAAAATCAATAATTTTATTTCATATTTGCTGCCTCTATATGTTGGCTCTCATTCTTAATGAATGGTTAAACTGCTATGAGTTATCACAGTCTTTAACCAGGAGATATTGCATTTCTATTTGTTTATTCTCTGCAGATTCATTTAGGCAGAGATGATTTATCGTTTATCTTTTCGCTCAAGGTAATTTTTTATCACTTTCATTTATAAATATGAGTGTGTTAGCTTGATATATTTCCTGGCACTTTTCTTGAACCCTTCTAGAAATAATTGGTTCATCTGTGTTTTGGTTCGTCCATTTTATTCAAGATTCTTTGCCAGTATTCAGGATGTGCACGTAATCTGTTTTGAATCTCCTTTTAGGTGATTCGGGTGGCTTGGCAACGCTTTACATCATAACATGCACACTATTAACAAATCAGTGCTTTTCAATGGGATAAAACTTCACAAGCACGTGCATATTGATGGCACGACCCATCATGCACTATCTTATTGGAATCGAAGACAGAGATGGAGATTAGACATATTGCATGTCTCATGTTCTTGATAATTTGAAGGAGGGCATCTAGAACGTTAGGTTAAAGAAAGTCCTGCTGCATATCAAAGATTTTCATAATTCAAAAGCCTATGCAATTGAAAATCAACAGTCATTGACAGTTTGTTAAAATCTTTTAGTGTGTGTTTGGGTTTAAAAACAATTGACAATGAATCGATGACAAGGCGACACTACAATATCTAGATTGTCCACGCATTATTTGAAGTATCGTGTTATGACGAATACAATTATCTGGCAAGCGTCAGGCATGGACACAACCCTCAATTTAAGTATTCTTGCTTCATTGGTTTGGACACGTCCAAGTCCATCAAGCATGCTGCTGTTGACAAATTTTATGCAGTTTGTTTGTCATTTATTTATTTATTTATTTTTTTTACATGCAACTTATTGCTCTGGAACTGAGAAAGGTGGTTGTGAAACGATTTTTGCACCTATATATGCCTTGATCAGGCAGCAGAAAATGCAACTCTATACGGGGTTTGTTTACATGTGCCTGAAATCTTGCAACGGCCACCTGATATCTTAGGCATATCGTCTCCTCTTATTCTTCCCTCTGGAGCCTGCAGCCGTTTTCTGGTTTCTGCTCCTCGTTGTCTTTGTCTGCTGACTAGAGTTCCTTTCTTTGAGTTGCATTATGAGATGTTAAACAGGTTAGCATATTATTTCTACCTTTTCACATTGTGGTTCACATTGCTGGTTGTCATCAGACTATTAAAGCATTAGGTTCGTTGTGTTGTCCTATGTCCAATAGAATTCACTATGCCTTACTTGGTTGCAGTCTTGCTGCACAGGAACGTCTGAATCGGATAACTCAATTTGTAAATGAGATGACTCTTACTGGTTCTTTTCTATCGCTTACACTAGATGATCAAACAAATGAAAATAATGACACCCTGGAGAGGGAGCCGTTTGGTGATTGGATGGCTTGTGCAATACCTGTTAAAGATGCAGCGGTCTTTGCCGCCGCCGCCGCAGGAATAATATCTGATGATGAGATCTCAGCCAAATTATGGGATTCCGACTCCGCAGGAAGTGATGCTTCTGATTTTAGACAGGTCAGGGATGTAGATAAGGATGGAAAGAAGAGTCATGTTGGTTGTGCTTCTGAGGTACCACAAACCCATCCAAATTCTTCGGAAAGGATGTCTAGAAACTGTGAAGATGGTCAAACTTCTCCAAGGGTTGGAACGCCTCGTTCTTCCAGGATTCGTGCATTGAAGCATCTCGGGAGTTCTCAGTCACCTTTCAGGAGGTACATCGATCTTTACGGTTAATGCAGACAACGGGAAGAAGGTTTTCCATCTTTCTTATTTGTTTCATAAGCCTAAAGTACGATAAATGTCCATGTACAATTTGAATGTTTTTTAATAAACTAGCGAGGTTATAATGAACGTAAAAATAAATATATTTTAACCACACCCCATTTTCTGCACATTGATCCATCGATCAATTATAATAACAAGTTGCTATAATTGGCAGTCCGGTTAGAAGCATGGAATCAGAAGATGAGGACGATCTTTTTGCAAATAATGATGATGGGGATGAATTTTTAATGGAATGGGCTAGGGTCAGTGTGAAATGGCTTTGATTTGCTTCCCACTGATTTAAGTGAGCTAGGTTAGTCTGGCATTTAATATGCTTTCATTCTTACGAATGATTTTGACAGGAAAATAAGAATGATTTGCTACAGATAGTGTGTCGATATCATTCTCTACCTCTTCAACGTCGGGGAAGTGAAATTATTTTCCACCCTCTGGAACATCTACAGCCAATTTTGTACAGAAGGCCTCCAGTTGTTGCTCTTGGCTTTCTTGAAAATTGTTTGGATAGTTTTGAACCTGCGAAGGTAATTTTTGAGCGTCGTTGACACAAAACTGCTCCACAGTTATGTTCACTCATTACAACTGTACTTGGTAAAAGGTAAATGCAAACCTGGCAGCTGCTGAGGAGGCTCTTGCACTTTCTATATGGACAAGTGTGACTATTTGTCGAGTTCTGTCCCTTGAAAATGTAAGTTCAACCCTTTCTTTTTGTGTCTTTGATGATGTTAAAGCCTATTAGCTGTTATTTATAAAATCTGTCCCCTTGAACCGCTTCTAGCTTGACCAAAGTAGAACTATTCTTTCTTCACAACTTTATTTTTTCGTTGGTGAAGAACTATAGTTTCTTTGGTCCCGGGACATAGATTTGGTTTGATACAATTTTGGGCCTCCTTCCTATTATTTCAAGCTTTTGGAAATATCTTAATATCCGACAATCCTTCTACGGCCCCAATTGTCCACTGTTCTTTTAACAAATGACTTGTATGCTTTTGGCAGAAGACTTGTGCTTAAACTGCTTAATAGTTCTAGAGAATACCTTCTGATCCGTTTACAGAACGTAATCTTTTTATGAAAATTTACAAAGTCCCAAGCATGGAGATTGATTACTAATAGGTCCCCTTGAAAAATTTGTGTAAAACGCCAGGATAAGTAGTAAATTTCGATGAGGACTTGTGCAAATCTTTTTTTTTTTTTTTATCTTGTAATTTACTAGTCCTTATCTAGCAATTGCGAGACACACTTAGAAATTTACAACTTTTGTGTGATTATTACACAAGTTCTTTAGAGGATCTATCAGTAATAACTCAATTTCAAGGGGTTTATTAGTAATTAACTTCCTTACGTCGGCCTTCTCTCACTTTCCCTCTTTTTCTTCCTCACTCATTATGCTTTATTATATGCACAAATACAGAGTGTCCTATGATTTGTATTGTGCAGTAACCCATGATATTTAAAACAGGAAAGAGTAAAGATATCAAACAATGATCCTTATCGCTGGAAGAGATAATTAATAGGTTACTTGCATCCAAGCATGGGCAAATTGTCAATCATACTCCCCCCTTTTCTAATAAAAGCGAATTTTAACTAATTTACAGTTTAAGATAATTTGTTAATCCTAAATTATGTATGGAATTGAAAATTTTGAACTAAAATGCCCTTGTGATTAATCCTTCATTTTTCTCTAATTTAATGATATTATCATGTCATGAAAGGCAATTGAGGAAAGATGTCATAAATGTTTCTTGAAAAGTGTTGTTTTGCTCATTAAAAAAAAAAATTTGAAAGTTATACCTATATTTGAAAACGGAAGTATGACCAAATAAGAGATCTTTAGTTTGCTGATGATAATACTTTTCTTTGTTGTCTTTATATGGTATAGATTCTATCATCCACCCCTCCACTGAATGAACTGTTTAGTCTTGCTGCTTGTTATATCTGTTGCATGTATCTTGATTGCCTTCAATTTTAATAAATAATGTTACTGGCAGCTGTTGGCAGCAATTGCAGGAGTGTTGTTGGAAAAACAAGTCTTACTAGTGTGTCCAAATCTGGTAAGTCAATGAAATAATTGTACTAATTGATGATTGCTAATTTGCTTGGTAATGTTTTGGGCTTTGTTGTTGTTTGCTGCTGCTGACTAATTGGGCTGACTACTGAGAGATAATAAATTTTTCTCTTTTTATTTCGAAATTGTGCAGGGTGTTCTATCTGCTGTAGTGCTATCCATCATTCCCATGATTCGTCCGTTTCAGTGGCAGAGTTTGTTTCTTCCTGTGAGTTCGTAAGCATTGAACAAACCCTGGTTTTAGATTTTGCTCTTGGTTACGTCTAACACCTTGCTAGCCCCACATTTCACTATTTCAGGTTCTACCCCAGAGAATGTTTGATTTTCTTGATGCACCAGTTCCGTATATTGTGAGTTCTATTATATTTCATTTTACGAATAAATTGCTTGTATAATATAGACTTCTGACTATTATTTTAACATTCATTTTTTTTAACACCAAAATAATCTGTCTATTTTTTGGGAATCAACTAGTCATTCTATGTGACATTGACGATCCTAAAAAAATTTTATACGAAGTTTCTTATACCTTTACAATCAGATTCTCTCATTAAAGCATGAAGTGTATAATTTTCCAATAGTAAAATGACAGGTGTATAGTTCATGTAGACTATTACATGGTTTCCCAATTAAAATATATACTTTCATGTTTTTTGGCAAATAATGTACTTGGTCAATTTTTTTTAAATGGGAACGTGATAGCGAAGATATAAAGAATTGCATCTAAGCCCAAGCCGATTAAATGTAGCGTTGCTACTATGTTCCATTGGGGAAGAAAACCAAAAGAAAATCTCAAAGACCTATAGGCTACAGCATGTTTTTAGTCTCACATCTCATGTACATCTAGTCATGTTTTATCTTATCATATACTTCAGTTTGCCCATTATTATGTGTTTTCTTTTTTTAAAGCATTTAGTTTTTTAGTTCATTCTTTTCTTCACATGTTTATACTTTATACTCGGTTTACTCAAATTTTTTCATTCAGTATAGCATGTAAAAAATCATTTCAGTGACTTTGCAAACGAATAATCAAAATGCCACCTCCCGTTTTTTTATGTGCACGACTTGACCCTTTTGTGCTCATGCATAAATACATAACATCACTTGTATACATAATCACTTCAGTGTTGGCCCCAAACAAACAGAAAACAGCCAAAAATATCATTTCTGTAACTTTTCTTGCAGATGAGTTATCGTAACAGGAACTTTTTAAGTGATTATTGGTTCACCTATTTAGAAATTTTCAGCTTCGACGAGGATTACTAGTATAGTCATCTTAGTAATAAAGTATAGTGATGATTCAGATGCACAATCTTTGAACAAGTCTCTGAACTGAACATGGATGAAAGATAACTTGCAATGAAAGTTTGTCCCTGTCTTGGTTCTATTATCCATATCATGCTGGGTTTTTCTTTTTCTTTCGATGCTTCTAGTAGGAGTTTATGAATATGAGCACATAACATGTAAAACTTTGACCAATTGAAAAACGTTCTTGAGAATGGTCCCATTTTTTAATCTTTTTTTTTAATGATATTGCAGATTGGCATACAGCACAAGCCCGCTGATTTGAAAATAAGAACTACTAACCTTGTTCTTGTTAATTTACTTAAGGATCAGGTTTGTTAAGGTCAATGACTTGACGGTTATTTTGACAGCACTGTGGGTAATCTATCAAAAGATTTGCAGAGATGCATTTGGCATATCATTGTTGAACATTTACTTAAGCCAAAGATATAGGATCAAATACCTATCAGTAGGCCAAAAGCTATAGCTAGTTGTCCGACAGTCTGATTGCAGCTTTATTTCCTCAACCTCCTTGATTCACCATATAGCAGTCCCCAGGTGCCATTCAGCAAATACAGTTGATGAATGCTGCCAACATCTACAATCTGCTAAAAGTGTCCCCCTCTCCCCCCAACTGTACTCATGGTGTTTTGCACCGATGATCACGCTCTGACACCAATTGGAGGTTCAAAATACTAATCACTAGGACAAAAGCTAGAACTGTTGGTCAAGAAACAATTCTATTTCCTTAACATATGGTAGAGCAAATACCAATTGCCATGGTTTGAACGCAAGATAGAGTTGATCGATTTGGCTAATATCCGATATGCCAACAGAGGACACATCCTTTTCAAGTGAAACCAGATTTAGGTCAAAAACCTACCCTAATTTATATGTTCTTGACTTGAGGAAGCGTTTGCTGAATCAAATTTCAAATGACATTAGATGAGATTATTATATCTATACATTTCACCGATAAATTAGAAAGGGATAGTTCATCATGTTTCCTTTTTCCTGATTCCCAATGAGGCACTGTTTTATATCATATCATATCTTATATGGCCATCATGTCGGGCTAAGTCGCAGTCGTTTAAATTTTTTTTTTTCTCCCTGTAGGTGAAAGTGTGTTATATGCCAAGACTTCCACGGCATAGAGAGCTTATTTCTCAGTTAGGTCCATTTCATGCTAGACTTTCAAGTGAAAGTTCAATTGCTGAAAGGAATCCTGTATATAGGTGCAACGAAGTCCAGGTTTGTATGATCTGACACTGAATGACATATTGTCCTGCTTGAAAGTTCATTTGTTGAAAACTAAAATATTGTCTTCTTGGGAACGTGAAGTGTTTGTCTTTCATTGCTATAAATAGGAAATTTGAAGTCTCTGATCCTGCTTCTCTCTTTGTTGCACACACTGAATTCATTATTATGTTTGGAGTTCATTCATAGCAGCGTTAATATGTCTAATTTTCATCAATATTTCCAACTCGAGACGAAAGTGGAATCGTTAGTAGCATTTTCTATATGCTAATAGCCGCAGTTATTGTCGGGACATGGAATCAGGGATCAAGGTGATCCGTTAGACCTTCACACTCATTGGACTCTGAGGAAATATGCTAATAGGCTTAACTTCAATTTTTGGTCTAAAATCTTGGGACTTACGGGTTTTTCCCTAATATACCCCACAGTCTAGTTTTCTCCCATTTGGGGCTTCTTACTCCCATCATACTTCAACCTAACTGAACACTCCCATTAATAGCACTGTGTTTAGTCCAAGCATTTCACCCTAGAAAATAAATATAATGCATGTTCTCACCGTATGATTGATGCCGTCGCAAAACATCAATCTAGCTTATTGTGTTTCTTATAAGCAGTGGCAATTGATGATTTGTACTTGTTTACAGTCTGAAGCCGCAGCCCAGTTTTTGGATGTCATGTGGAGATATATGGAGTCACTTTGTTCAGATATGAGATTACACACGATCACTAATGTACAATCAAATAGTGACAGGGTAAATTATTATTATATTCTTGGAAATTCTCAATAGGTGTAGAATATGTAGTTGAGTTGCCCCGTGTTTCTCTGGCTCATAGTGGATTCTGTGTACAGGTTTCTTTGCTTCTCAAAGATAGCTTCATCGATTCTTTCCCTAGCAGGGACCGACCATTCATCAAGGTGGGAAATTGTTAATCCTGCATAAAAAGTGATATTGTAGTTGGCATGCTGTAACGCCATTCTTAATTCATAATATAAACTTCAACTGAGTATAGTAATATTTTTCTCATCGGTGATAAAGGTATGCTTTTCTGGCAATTATGAGAGACTTCTATCAAATATTCACTATCATATAGTCGATGACGCATTATCAATGAAAAGAGGATTTTGTAAATCGTAGTGATTACTCACGACAGTTGGGAAGCCCTAGCCCTTAGGTAGACTAAAACCAATTGGGAGCAACCACATGCATATGCTATTTAAGCTGTCAGCGGACCTCATTCCTGACATCTTAAAGCAGTTAACAATCAATCATTTTTGTTAGCCTTTGTTTTTACTCATTAGATTCTACAGCAGCGGCCTGTATTAACCAGTAACCATGGCTTTTGTCTATTATGTGTCCGTGACTCTGCAGCAATTGGTTGACACGCAGCTCTTCAGTGTTCTATCAGACTCGCGTCTATCAAGCTTCGAGAATGACTCATATTTCTCTGACGCTTCCGTCTAGGATCACTGGGTGCAACGGAGGACCTGTTGGTCATACTAGTTTGATTCCCACAAGAATACGTGATTCTTCAATGATGGCTAACATCTCCAGGAGGAATTGTCAATTCAAATATCCAATGTTCTAGATCGACACAATCATGTGGACCTCAATTCAGCGCAGAGCTCCAATTAGATCAGTTGCACTGAAGCACAAGGTGGTTAGCGTCCCTATTTCTTTATCGGGATATATTCTTGGGCATAGCAGCAATAGATGTGACTGTAATGCCGACTTTTTTCCTGAAATGTTTGCACCATTTTTGTCTAATTGTTAATTTCTTGTTTGTATTTAATAAGATAACTAGATACTAGATACATTGTCCTGTCGAGCGTCAAGTGTGCATAGCTCCGCATTTGTGTAGCCAAGGACCAGACAGATGTGCCATTATTTATCATGACCATGACAAAATTTCTCATTTTCCTTGGTACTTTGGCATGTTTCGGCATTTCAACTAAGAACTTGCTCTATTCTTTCTTTTTTTTTTTTTAGGGATAAAATGCATTTTTATCCCTACACTCTTCTTTGAGAAAGACTAAGCACCCTATACTAATAAGTGGAATATTTTTTTCTTAAATTATTTTTTTCAAGAAACAAAAATCCCCTTCACTAACAGATCAGTAGCAAATTGGAATCTTTGCTCTTCTATAAATGGTTTAGGGAAAAAACATCTCACTTAATTATACAGGATGCCTAGCACTCCTGATAGGAAAGTACAGCAATAAAATATACTTTAACCTAAAAGTAAATATTAGCAATCACTTCAATTTAAACAATGATTATTTTTCTTTTGACAATGACTAAAGTGAAACAAGCAAATACAAAGTTATAATTATTGCAATTGCTTGTTTTATTTTGATCATTGTTAGAAGAAAAATAATTATTGCTTAAACTAAAGTAGTTAAAGGTATTTACAATACTTAAATTTTAATAAATTTACATAAGTTTCTAAAGAGAAAGTTGTAATTGTTTATTTTATTTTAACCATTGTCAAAAAAAAAATAGTCATTGTTTACGCTAAAGTAATTACAAATGTTTACAACACTTATACTTCAATAAATCAAAAATTTACACAAGAATAATTGTGATTGATTGTTTCATTTTAATAATTGCTAAAAAAAAGTAATCATTGTTTAAATTAAAGTAGTCACTAATATTTATTTTTTAATTTTAAATTAAAAGTATTTTAGTAACTTCACAAAAAATCATTAATGTTTAAAAGGTCTTTAGATTTCAAAAGAATCATAACATTTTGTGAAATCTCATTGTCATTTTGCGCATTCCAAGGGATAAAAATGCAATCTCTCCCTACACTTTTTTTCAAGGAGTGCTATAAACTCTATTCTTGCAAGCAAGGCATTTTTCCTCTAGATTATTTTTTAGATGAGCACAAATTCTCTTTGTGAAAAAAAAAATTATTAGGGCAAAAATTGCAAACTTTTTTTTTTTTATCGAAGTATGACCCATTGCATGTCTCATGTTCTTGATAATTTGAAGGAGGGCACCTAGAACGTTAGGTTAAAGAAAGTCCTGCTGCATATCAAAGATTTTCATAATTTAAAAGCCTATGCAATTGAAAATCAACAGTCATTGACAGTTTGTTAAAATCTTTTAGTGTGTGTTTGGGTTTAAAAACAATTGACAATGAATCGATGACAAGGCGACACTACAGTATCTAGATTGTCCACGCGTTATTTGAAGTATCGTGTTATGACGAATACAATTAGCTGGCAAGCGTCAGGCATGGACACAACCCTCAATTTAAGTATTCTTGCTTCATTGGTTTGGACACGTCCAAGTCCATCAAGCATGCTGCTGTTGACAAATTTTATGCAGTTTTTTTGTCATTTATTTATTTATTTTTTACATGCAACTTATTGCTCTGGAACTGAGAAAGGTGGTTGTGAAACGATTTTTGCACCTTTATATGCCTTGATCAGGCAGCAGAAAATGCAACTCTATACGGGGTTTGTTTACATGTGCCTGAAATCTTGCAACGGCCACCTGATATCTTAGGCATATCGTCTCCTCTTATTCTTCCCTCTGGAGCCTGCAGCCGTTTTCTGGTTTCTGCTCCTCGTTGTCTTTGTCTGCTGACTAGAGTTCCTTTCTTTGAGTTGCATTTTGAGATGTTAAACAGGTTAGCATATTATTTCTACCTTTTCACATTGTGGTTCACATTGCTGGTTGTCATCAGACTATTAAAGCATTAGGTTCGTTGTGTTGTCCTATATCCAATAGAATTCACTATGCCTTACTTGGTTGCAGTCTTGCTGCACAGGAACGTCTGAATCGGATAACTCAATTTGTAAATGAGATGACTCTTACTGGTTCTTTTCTATCGCTTACACTAGATGATCAAACAAATGAAAATAATTACACCCTGGAGAGGGAGCCGTTTGGTGATTGGATGGCTTGTGCAATACCTGTTAAAGATGCAGCGGTCTTTGCCGCCGCCGCCGCAGGAATAATATCTGATGATGAGATCTCAGCCAAATTATGGGATTCCGACTCCGCAGGAAGCGATGCTTCTGATTTTAGACAGGTCAGGTATGTAGATAAGGATGGAAAGAAGAGTCATGTTGGTTGTGCTTCTGAGGTACCACAAACCCATCCAAATTCTTCGGAAAGGATGTCTAGAAACTGTGAAGATGGTCAAACTTCTCCAAGGGTTGGAACGCCTCGTTCTTCCAGGATTCGTGCATTGAAGCATCTCGGGAGTTCTCAGTCACCTTTCAGGAGGTACATCTATCTTTACGGTTAATGCAGACAACGGGAAGAAGGTTTTCCATCTTTTTTATTTGTTTCATAAGCCTAAAGTACGATAAATGTCCATGTACAATTTGAATGTTTTTTAATAAACTAGCGAGGTTATAATGAACGTAAAAATAAATATATTTTAACCACACCCCATTTTCTGCACATTGATCCATCGATCAATTATAATAACAAGTTGCTATAATTGGCAGTCCGGTTAGAAGCATGGAATCAGAAGATGAGGACGATCTTTTTGCAAATAATGATGATGGGGATGAATTTTTAATGGAATGGGCTAGGGTCAGTGTGAAATGGTTTTGATTTGCTTCCCACTGATTTAAGTGAGCTAGGTTAGTCTGGCATTTAATATGCTTTCATTCTTACGAATGATTTTGACAGGAAAATAAGAATGATTTGCTACAGATAGTGTGTCGATATCATTCTCTACCTCTTCAACGTCGGGGAAGTGAAATTATTTTCCACCCTCTGGAACATCTACAGCCAATTTTGTACAGAAGGCCTCCAGTTGTTGCTCTTGGCTTTCTTGAAAATTGTTTGGACAGTTTTGAACCTGCGAAGGTAATTTTTGAGTGTCGTTGACACAAAACTGCTCCACAGTTATGTTCACTCATTACAACTGTACTTGGTAAAAGGTAAATGCAAACCTGGCAGCTGCTGAGGAAGCTCTTGCACTTTCTATATGGACAAGTGTGACTATTTGTCGAGTTCTGTCCCTTGAAAATGTAAGTTCAACCCTTTCTTTTTGTGTCTTTGATGATGTTAAAGCCTATTAGCTGTTATTTATAAAATCTGTCCCCTTGAACCGCTTCTAGCTTGACCAAAGTAGAACTATTCTTTCTTCTCAACTTTATTTTTTCGTTGGTGAAGAACTATAGTTTCTTTGGTCCCGGGACATAGATTTGGTTTGGTACAATTTTGGGCCTCCTTCCTATTATTTCAAGCTTTTGGAAATATCTTAATATCCGACAATCCTTCTATGGCCCCAATTGTCCACTGTTCTTTTAACAAATGACTTGTATGCTTGTGGCAGAAGACTTGTGCTTAAACTGCTTAATAGTTCTAGAGAATACCTTCTGATCCGTTTACAGAACGTAATCTTTTTATGAAAATTTACAAAGTCCCAAGCATGGAGATTGATTACTAATAGGTCCCCTTGAAAAATTTGTGTAAAACGCTAGGATAAGTAGTAAATTTCGATGAGGACTTGTGCAAATCTTTTTTTTTTTTTTATCTTGTAATTTACTAGTCCTTATCTAGCAATTGCGAGACACACTTAGAAATTTACAACTTTTGTGTGATTATTACACAAGTTCTTTAGAGGATCTATCAGTAATAACTCAATTTCAAGGGGTTTATTAGTAATTAGCTTCCTTACGTCGGCCTTCTCTCACTTTCCCTCTTTTTCTTCCTCACTCATTATGCTTTATTATATGCACAAATACAGAGTGTTCTATGATTTGTATTGTGCAGTAACCCATGATATTTAAAACAGGAAAGAGTAAAGATATCAAACAATGATCCTTATCGCTGGAAGAGATAATTAATAGGTTACTTGCATCCAAGCATGGGCAAATTGTCACTCATACTCCCCCCTTTTCTAATAAAAGCGAATTTTAACTAATTTACAGTTTAAGATAATTTGTTAATCCTAAATTATGTATGGAATTGAAAAATTTGAACTAAAATGCCCTCGTGATTAATCCTTCATTTTTCTCTAATTTAATGATATTATCATGTCATGAAAGGCAATTGAGGAAAGATGTCATAAATGTTTCTTGAAAAGTGTTGTTTTGCTCATTAAAAAAAAAAAAAATTGAAAGTTATACCTACATTTGAAAACGGAAGTATGACCAAATAAGAGATCTTTAGTTTGCTGATGATAATACTTTTCTTTGTTGTCTTTATATGGTATAGATTCTATCATCCGCCCCTCCACTGAATGAAGTGTTTAGTCTTGCTGCTTGCTATATCTGTTGCATGTATCTTGATTGCCTTCAATTTTAATAAATAATGTTACTGGCAGCTGTTGGCATTAATTGCAGGAGTGTTGTTGGAAAAACAAGTCTTACTAGTGTGTCCAAATCTGGTAAGTCAATGAAATAATTGTACTAATTGATGATTGCTAATTTGCTTGGTAATGTTTTGGGCTTTGTAATTGTTTGCTGCTGCTGACTAATTGGGCTGACTACTGAGAGATAATAAATTTTTCTCTTTTTATTTCGAAATTGTGCAGGGTGTTCTATCTGCTGTAGTGCTATCCATCATTCCCATGATTCGTCCGTTTCAGTGGCAGAGTTTGTTTCTTCCTGTGAGTTCGTAAGCATTGAACAAACACTGGTTTTAGATTTTGCTCTTGGTTACGTCTAACACCTTGCTAGCCCCACATTTCACTATTTCAGGTTCTACCCCAGAGAATGTTTGATTTTCTTGATGCACCAGTTCCGTATATTGTGAGTTCTATTATATTTCATTTTACGAATAAATTGCTTGTATAATATAGCCTTCCGACTATTATTTTAACATTCATTTTTTTTTAACACCAAAATAATCTGTCTATTTTTTGGGAATCAACTAGTCATTCTATGTGACATTGACGATCCTAAAAAAATTTTATACGAAGTTTCTTATACCTTTACAATCAGATTCTCTCATTAAGGCATGAAGTGTATAATTTTCCAATAGTAAAATGACAGGTGTATAGTTCATGTAGACTATTACATGGTTTCCCAATTAAAATATATACTTTCATGTTTTTTGGCAAATAATGTACTTGGTCAATTTTTTTTAAATGGGAACGTGCTAGCGAAGATGTAAAGAATTGCATCTAAGCCCAAGCCGATTAAATGTAGCGTTGCTACTATGTTCCATTGGGGAAGAAAACCAAAAGAAAATCTCAAAGACCTATAGGCTACAGCATGTTTTTAGTCTTACATCTCATGTACATCTAGTCATGTTTTATCTTATCATATACTTCAGTTTGCCCATTATTATGTGTTTTCTTTTTTTTAAGCATTTAGTTTTTTAGTTCATTCTTTTCTTCACATGTTTATACTTTATACTCGGTTTACTCAAATTTTTTCATTCAGTATAGCATGTAAAAAATCATTTCAGTGACTTTGCAAACGAATACTCAAAATGCCACCTCCCGTTTTTTTATGTGCACGATTTAACCCTTTTGTGCTCATGCATAAATACATAACATCACTTGTATACATAATCACTTCAGTGTTGGCCCCAAACAAACAGAAAACAGCCAAAAATATCATTTCTGTAACTTTTCTTGCAGATGAATTATCGTAACAGGAACTTTTTAAGTGATTATTGGTTCACCTATTTAGAAATTTTCAGCTTCGACGAGGATTACTAGTATAGTCATCTTAGTAATTAAGTATAGTGATGATTCAGATGCACAATCTTTGAACAAGTCTCTGAACTGAACATGCTGGGTTTTTCTTTTTCTTTCGATGCTTCTAGTAGGAGTTTATGAATATGAGCAAATAACATGTAAAACTTTGACCAATTGAAAAACGTTCTTGAGAATGGTCCCATTTTTTAATCTTTTTTTTTTTAATGACATTGCAGATTGGCATACAGCACAAGCCCGCTGATTTGAAAATAAGAACTACTAACCTTGTTCTTGTTAATTTACTTAAGGATCAGGTTTGTTAAGGTCAATGACTTGACGGTTATTTTGACAGCACTGTGGGTAATCTATCAAAAGATTTGCAGAGATGTATTTGGCATATCATTGTTGAACATTTACTTAGGCCAAAGATATAGGATCAAATACCTATCACTAGGCCAAAAGCTATAGCTAATTGTCCGACAGTCTGATTGCAGCTTTATTTCCTCAACCTCCTTGATTCACCATATAGCAGTCCCCAGGTGCCATTCAGCAAATACAGTTGATGAATGCTGCCAACATCTAAAAGTGTCCCCCTCTCCCCCCAACTGTACTCATGGTGTTTTGCACCGATGATCACTCTCTGACACCAATTGGAGGTTTAAAATACTAATCACTAGGACAAAAGCTAGGACTGTTGGTCAAGAAACAATTCTATTTCCTTAACATATGGTAGAGCAAATACCAATTGCCATGGTTTGAACACAAGATAGAGTTGATCGATTTGGCTAATATCCGATATGCCAACAGAGGACACATCCTTTTCAAGTGAAACCAGATTTAGGTCAAAAACCTACCCTAATTTATATGCTCTTGACTTGAGGAAGTTGTTGCTGAATCAAATTTCAAATGACATTAGATGAGATTATTATATCTATACATTTCATCGATAAATTAGAAAGGGATAGTTCATCATGTTTCCTTTTTCCTGATTCCCAATGAGGCACTGTTTTATATCATATCATATCATATATGGCCATCATGTCGGGCTAAGTCGCAGTCGTTTAAATTTTTTTTTTCTCCCTGTAGGTGAAAGTGTGTTATATGCCAAGACTTCCACGGCATAGAGAGCTTATTTCTCAGTTAGGTCCATTTCATGCTAGACTTTCAAGTGAAAGTTCAATTGCTGAAAGGAATCCTGTATATAGGTGCAACGAAGTCCAGGTTTGTATGATCTGACACTGAATGACATATTGTCCTGCTTGAAAGTTCATTTGTTGAAAACTAAAATATTATCTTCTTGGGAACGTGAAGTGTTTGTCTTTCATTGCTATAAATAGGAAATTTGAAGTCTCTGATCCTGCTTCTCTCTTTGTTGCACACACTGAATTCATTATTATGTTTGGAGTTCATTCATAGCAGCGTTAATATGTCTAATTTTCATCAATATTTCCAACTCGAGACGAAAGTGGAATCGTTAGTAGCATTTTCTATATGCTAATAGCCACACTTATTGTCGGGACATGGAATCAGGGATCAAGGTGATCCGTTAGACCTTCACACTCATTGGACTCTGAGGAAATATGCTAATAGGCTTAACTTCAATTTTTGGTCTAAAATCTTGAGACTTACGGGTTTTTCCCTAATATACCCCACAGTCTAGTTTTCTCCCATTTGGGGCTTCTTACTCCCATCATACTTCAACCTAACTGAACACTCCCATTAATAGCACTGTGTTTAGTCCAAGCATTTCACCCTAGAAAATAAATATAATGCATGTTCTCACCGTATGATTGATGCCGTCGCAAAACATCAATCTAGCTTATTGTGTTTCTTATAAGCAGTGGCAATTGATGATTTGTACTTGTTTACAGTCTGAAGCCGCAGCCCAGTTTTTGGATGTCATGTGGAGATATATGGATTCACTTTGTTCAGATATGAGATTACACACGATCACTAATGTACAATCAAATAGTGACAGGGTAAATTATTATTATATTCTTGGAAATTCTCAATAGGTGTAGAATAGGTAGTTGAGTTGCCCCGTGTTTCTCTGGCTCATAATGGATTCTGTGTACAGGTTTCTTTGCTTCTCAAAGATAGCTTCATCGATTCTTTCCCTAGCAGGGACCGACCATTCATCAAGGTAGTTTACATTAGGGTTCTTTTGAAGAAATTTTATGGGAAATTGTTAATCCTGCATAAAAAGTGATATTGTAGTTGGCATGCTGTAACGCCATTCTTAATTCATAATATAAACTTCAACTGAGTATAGTAATATTTTTCTCATTGGTGATAAAGGTATGCTTTTCTGGCAATTATGAGAGACTTCTATCAAATATTCACTATCATATAGTCGATGACGCATTATCAATGAAAAGAGAATTTTGTAAATCGTAGTGATTACTCACGACAGTTGGGAAGCCCTAGCCCTTAGGTAGACTAAAACCAATTGGGAGCAACCACATGCATATGCTATTTAAGCTGTCAGCGGACCTCATTCCTGACATCTTAAAGCAGTTAACAATCAATCATTCTTGTTAGCCTTTGTTTTTACTCATTAGATTCTACAGCAGCGGCCTGTATTAACCAGTAACCATGGCTTTTGTCTATTATGTGTCCGTGACTCTGCAGCAATTGGTTGACACGCAGCTCTTCAGTGTTCTATCAGACTCGCGTCTATCAAGCTTCGAGAATGACTCATATTTCTCTGACGCTTCCGTCTAGGATCACTGGGTGCAACGGAGGACCTGTTGGTCATACTAGTTTGATTCCCACAAGAATACGTGATTCTTCAATGATGGCTAACATCTCCAGGAGGAATTGTCAATTCAAATATCCAATGTTCTAGATCGACACAATCATGTGGACCGCAATTCAGCGCAGAGCTCCAATTAGATCAGTTGCACTGAAGCACAAGGTGGTTAGCGTCCCTATTTCTTTATCGGGATATATTCTTGGGCATAGCAGCAATAGATGTGACTGTAATGCCGACTTTTTTCCTGAAATGTTTGTACCATTTTTGTCTAATTGTTAATTTCTTGTTTGTATTTAATAAGATAACTAGATACTAGATACATTGTCCTGTCGAGCGTCAAGTGTGCATAGCTCCGCATTTGTGTAGCCAAGGACCAGACAGATGTGCCATTATTTATCATGACCATGACAAAATTTCTCATTTTCCTTTATACTTTGGCATGTTTCGGCATTTCAACTAAGAACTTGCTCTATTCTTTCTTTTTTTTTTAGGGATAAAATGCATTTTTATCCCTACACTTTTCTTTGAGAAAGACTAAGCACCCTACACTAATAAGTGAAATATTTTTTTCTTAAACTATTTTTTTCAAGAGCAAAAATCCCTTCTAACAGGTAGCAAAAAACATCTCACTTAATAATACAGGATGCCTAGCACTCCTGATAGGAAAGTATAGCAATAAAATATACTTTAACTTAAAAGTAAATATTAGCGATCGCTTCAATTTAAACAATGATTATTTTTCTTTTGACAATGAGTAAAGTGAAACAAGCAAATACAAAGTTATAATTATTGCAATTGCTTGTTTTACTTTGACCATTATTAGAAGAAAAGTAATTATTGCTTAAATTAAAATAGTTAAAGGTATTTACAATACTTAAATTTTAATAAATTTACATAAGTTTCTAAAGAGAAAGTTGTAATTGTTTATTTTATTTTAACCATTGTTAGAAAAAAAAATAGTCATTGTTTACGCTAAAGTAATTACAAATATTTACAACACTTATACTTTAATAAATCAAAAATTTACACAAGAATAATTGTGATTGATTGTTTCATTTTAATCATTGCTAAAAAAATGCTAAAAGAAAAGTAGTATTGTTTAAATTAAAGTGATCACTAATATTTATTTTTTAATTTTCAATTAAGAGTATTCTAGTAACTTCACAAAAAATCATTAATGTTTAAAAGGTCTTTAGATTTCAAAAGAATCATACATTTTGTGAAATTCATTGTAATTTTGCACATTACAAAGGATAAAAATGCATTCTCTCCCTACACTTTTTTTCAAGGAGTGCTATAAACTCTATTCTTGCGAGGCATTTTTCCTCTAGATTATTTTTTAGATGACACAAATTCCTTTGTGAAAAAAAAATTATAGGGGCAAAAATTGCAAACTTTTTTTTTTTTTATCGAAGTATGGCTACGGCTCATGTTTTTATTTCTTCTGTACCTCCTGGAAGACATTCTATCTAAAGAGAATTAAAAAGTAAAAGCTTTTACACTTAAGGGCAATGCTCAAATACAAACCACCCGATGAAGTTAATAGCTTGAAGATGATATTATGACGAAGTATATATCTTGATTAAAGGAAGGATGATGTCACAAAAAAGTTTGACAGTGTAAAAAAACACCAGCACATCACAAGAGTTTTAAAAAATATTACCTGATGTCAAGGGTACGGGGCTTGATCCAACATTTCTAAATGTGATAAATTGTTGACTTCATTTTCTTTGAAAAAATATCAATAAAAACACTACAATTATTTTGAATCAAAGCCCCTAAATTTTTAAAATATCACCGTAGCCCAACGGTCCTGATTTAATATTAAATTTTTAAAAAAAACAAAATTGCCCCTTGTTCATATAAAGATTAAAACTGGCCAACTTCACTTATTCATTGCCCTATATCACTTGTTATTTGCTTATGAAATATTGTTTGTTATTTTACTTCACTTGTTCATTACTCTCGATGAAATCAAGTGAAAATAAAGCCATGAACAACAGTACATAAATATATAAACAATATATAGTATAGAAACTAACAAGTTGTTTTAAGATAATTTAAACACTTGGAATGAAATCAAGTGAAGTAGGGCAATAAATAGCATTCTGTAAGACAATAAACAAGTAATGCAAGGCAATTCTTCTAAATGAGATACAATTTTGTCATCTCTCTTAAAAATTTAACATCAAATCAAAATCCCTGGACTGCAATGATATTTCAAAATTTTAGGGGTTTTGATTCAAAAAAAGTCTGGTCAAGGGTCTTTATTGAAATTTCTCCTTCTCTTTTTTTAAAAATTGAGCTGATCATTAAATTTATATTGGGTTGGAGGAATAAGATCTGTCTTGGGCACTTCGCTATTACATACAATATACAAATTACTGAGGAAAAACGGGTTGTCAAGTAGGACTCGAATAGTTTCCAAGATCCAAGTTTATAGCATGGCTATCCAGACATGTTCATACCACCTCCCCCAATTCCCGCTCAAAAATTGAATTAAAATCAGAGAATAGCCTAAAAAGAAAACAGGACAGAACTGAGTTATTGGTGCTCTAAAGGATGATTAATAGTACAAACCGCGGTTTCTTAATTCAAACGGACGACTGGACCAGCAGACCACAAGTTCACACTGGTGGTCCTGTGAGGTGGAGAGAAGAAATGTTCCAAATGTCTCATTATTATATTCTTAATCTTATCGTATAGCTTTCATCAACTTTTAAGGAGAAATAGACAGTGCTGATTAAGGGGATGGGGTAAAAAGCCTTCCCACAATGCTCAATTCTCAAATATTCAGCAGAGGTACCTTTTATTTCCGAGTGACCCTTGCTACCTTATCTCCCTCAGCACCGACCATGCTCTGATGCCCAGAAAACACAGCATTATGATTGATGACCCTATTATTTCTCTTCCTCGTCAGAATCTGACGTTTGAAAAACAGGCTCAGGCTGGGTTTTTGCATATGCTGGAGCAATGAATTTGGGATCATTTGCTGCAGCATCAGCATATTTCAGGATAGCTTCTCTTGGATCTTCCTCCATCCATGTCTCTTTAATCATACCCCCTTGCTGCAATTGCATAAAAGAAATAAATATCTTTTTAGTGTCATTCCAAGGCAAGAACATTGACCGGTTGAGAAAAATGAGACAACAAAATGCCAACAAAAGAGCAATACCTTCAGAAGATATTGAGTCAGTAAGCTTCCTTGACTTACACCTACTCGGCCACCAAAACCAGGTCCTGTTATGGGAAGTTCAGGCTTATGGGACTTTAATGGATCCTTCAGTATTTTCTCTCGCTGACGCTTACGGCTTGGCTGATCTCTAAACAGTGGTAAGGCATGAGGATTGTGAACAACTGGTTTTGCCTCAAAATCATCAATGGATTTTTTCCTTGGTGCACGTGCAACACAAACAAGAGCTCCTCTCTCGCTCACAGTTGGATCATATAGTATGTGAGTTCCTCCTTGGCCTTTATCACCAACAGTTGCAAAGATCTGCACGAATAAAGTGGTTCAAAAAGGTTTGTAATCACAAGAAACCATGTTTTTCCGGTGAATGCAATATGATAGAAAAAATTTTCCGCATAAATCACACATGATGTTAAGGTACCTGATTCAGTTTAGGATGCCAAGCACATTGCACAACACTACAAGTGGGTGATATACCAACTCTTGAAACAAGCTCAAGGTTCGCACGATCATAAAAGCACAATAAACCTCCACTCAAACTCTCTCTTTCAACAGATGTTCCGGTAAAAAAGAGTTCTTCATCAGGATTAAAGGCAATGTTGGTTTGCCCATAGTGATTTGGAAGATCTTCAAATACCTTTAGAGGTTCCTTTATTTTGCGCAGATCCCAAACCTGAGACACAAAAGAGGAAAAGTTGAGTCATATAACAGAGGTAAGTCAATAGCTTTAAAATAGAGAAAGAGCATCAGATCCTCAGGCCTAAAGATAATGCCATTTACCTTCAACGAACCATCAAAGCTTCTTGACAGTAAAATTCTCCCATCACTTGAAAATTTCACGCCAGTAATATCATCTGAATGCCCTTTGTCAATATATACATCTGGCCTGCTTCCCCATCCAGGCTTAATACTCCAAATCTGTGAAAATAATTGGGTCAAAACATTAAAAGGATAATGTCAATGACACATTAATTTTGAAAAATGCATAGAATTATTTGCTTGTTCCCTCATTGACGTCAGAGAATAAGGAACCAAAAGAGGTACCTGTATAGAACCATCTCCTATACCACCAGCCATGCATTTGCCTTCATGATCCCATGCACATGTGGTGACAGGAACTCTTCCGGGTCTTGCAAGCTTTGGTTTGATAACCTACCCATTAAATGTTAGAATTGCACTTCTTAGATTTAATACCATCAATAAATTGTGAAGGTTTCGAGAAACATAAATATGAATGCAAGCCAACACACATACATGATACAGCTATATTCATTATTGAAGTATGATCATTATTACCATAATCATCAATTTCCCTCAATGACAGAGAAAAACAAATAAAATCTTCATTATGAACAGACTAATTCAACAAAAGTAACTATTGGGTGATCTTAGTCCATAAAATAATTCTTTTCTAAGATATTTTGTTAAAACTCAGAACGACAGTAACTTTGGCCTGAAGCTAATCAGCAAACAAAAATACCAGCAAGCAATGAGTTGCTCCCAGCAGAATGAGTTTTTTTTCTGAGAATACTCAAGCAAACTTGTTTTAAAAGCAGAAATCATCCTTTCATGTACCAGGATTAATGCCCACACGGATACACATAAGGTGAGCTGATGTTATGCAAACCTGCTTCTGACTTTTGAAGTCATTTACATCCCATATGCGCAGTGATCCATCCTCTGATGATGTTAAAATAGTTTCCTTGGCTTTTGGGTGCCATTCTCCCCATGTCAATCCAGATATGTGGCCTTTAGTATTTTTTAGATCACGGATATACATGTCCCCCTTCACAAACTCTCCCAAAGTAAGCCCATCACGATCATAGATCTGTTGCAAAAGAAAAACAAGTTTGTTGATGGCAGATCACTTAAAGCATAAAAGAAACAGAACAAGAATAAGTTGTCATGCTCATGCATTACCTTTGCTTGAGCCGATCCCGTCACGCACAAAAAACGATCTGCACTTGGACTCCAGCTTAGATTGCGAACTTGATGACCTTCAAAAGGCTCCAGTTGTCGAAATGATTGTAATCGCGAATTCATTCCTTGAAAGTCATACATCCGCACTGTATAGTCATAACTTCCAGAAAGTACTCTAGACCCGGAGTGATCCACGGCAAGAGCCGACACAACCTGTTAAAGGTTACATTTATCACTCAGCTTTTCATTCCTCAACAGCCATAATGAAGATTTGTAATATTTTATTTTCTTTCTTAAAAGGCTATAAGACCGCAACCTGAGAATCATGTTTTGCCACATCACTGACAGATTTAGAGGATATTAGTAACATTTAAGATTGCAAACAATTTCACCTCTAGAGGTACAGATTGACATATAGTAGAGTGCTATATGCCAACAACGAATCAACAAGTTTCAAATTTTGAACATGGAAATTGGCAGAAAAAACGAAGAAATTGACCGATAATGCAATCACATCATTTGTCACCTGGCAGGAGCCATCCCTAAAAGAGTAATTAAGACATAAGTAGTTAAATACCTTAGTGTGGCCCTTGAGAACAATCTCGTTGCTAAGCGGAATTCGAAACCGATTCCCCACCTCGTCTTCGTCTGAATCATCCTCGGAACTTGACGCACCCACATTCGAACCAGGGGGAGGCCTTGGCGGGCCAATCATCTCCCCATCGTCAACCCCTTCTTCACCGGGAGTTAAACCAACAGGCGGTAGAGGAGGCCCAATCATCTCACTATCATCCTCTTCTTCATCAGGCGGCCGAGGCGGTCCCACCATAACACCGCCATCCTCATCAGATTCCCCCGGCGGCGGTGGCCGAGGCGGCCCAATCGTGGAAGCACCACCACGACGATCGGCGGTGGAGTCCGGGTTAGGGTTTTTGGAACTGCGGAGGGAAAGAAGCCAGGCCTTGGAAGAGGAGGAGATAGAAGGGAGGTAATTGGTACTTTTGGTGTCGGCGGTCGTGGCGGGGGGATGCGAAGAACTAGAGGGTTTAGAGTCGAGATTGGAACTGGAACGACGAGTGGCATTGTGGATGGCTTCCAGAGGGGTTTGAGACTTGGATTGCTTTCCAAAACTAAGAGGGAATTGAGATCTAGTACCATCATATATATCAGCCTCGTCCTCCATCGTTATCCAAGAGCCCCTTCAAGTTCAAAACCGAATCCTGCGCGTCCCCTTACTTACTGGGTTTTGCATTTTCAAATCATTTATAGGTATGCCTTGCCGCCATGCGAACCAGACACGGGCGCACCACAGAAAATGGAGAGCAGGTAAGATGCGACATCAAAGCGTATCATCATGGGCCCAACTGTGCTTACGGGCCGGCTCAATGTTTATATTGGGCTTTTCTGGTGGGTTTAAGCACATAACTTGAAAGATCCCAATTCTAACCTAACATTTAATACTTGAGCCCAATTATGCACTCGGACCGGCCCAATATTCATGACGGGATTTTTTTGGTGCTTCTAAGCCCACAACTTGTCCAATTCCAACTTCCATTGACTGCTGTTGTCATTGATGAGTAAAACCGAATCTTCTGGAGTAGGCTAGAAGGATCCATCAGTCCATGCCATTTATTATTTTTTTTTTACACATTATTATTTTGGTATTTTCATTCTTTCCGGTTTTTCCCTAAATCATTAATCAATAAAATGATATATATATCATTTTGTAATTGACAACAAATCAAACTATTCATGGACCATAAGTAGTTGATTCAGTTCAAATTTTATACAGTAAACCATAAAACGTGTTCAATTAAATATGAAAAGCAAAAAATACAAGTCGCAATACTGTTTTTAGATGATTAAAATAGCACTAGTAGTGCTGGCAGATCAAAATTGAGCAGAGGTTTTTGAATTAATAATCGTTTCCATTATTGCATTCTCTTTTATGCAAATATGATTGATTGGATGCACTTTCAGCAATGAAATGGGGCTGAAATGTTTCCACTGTTCAGTTCAGGCCAATGAAAAAGACATAGTATTTTACCTTGGCGCCATTAATAATTAATAATTACTTGTAAGCCAAAAAAAGCTAAGAATTGCTGGCTGTAAGCGTTGCTTTGGACCCGGGGGTTGGGGGCCGAAAAGAAAAGGACAAGAGTGATGAAAACGTGGGGAAATATAAAAGAACAAAAGTGATTAGTAGTAGTGTTAGTGGGGCATTGGATGCCAGTTCAGTTGTTCCCATTTAAAAAGTCATGATATATACATATCTCGGCCACGCACAATAAGAAGAAAATTAAGGAACGAAAAGGATTTCATTTTTGATCTTCACAACAAAGGCTTTAATTGGTCGTATATATATTCCTAGAATCTTGTTTGGTTATGTACTATGTCTATGTGTTGATTATTGATTAGTAATTTTTAAATTTTGTGAACGGACCGGACCAGGACCCCCCAAAAAAAAAAAAGAACGAAAGAGTTGCGTGGTGCATGAGATATGAATTTTATAGCTGTTTGTAATTTTTTTTAAAAAAAATTGTACTCACAAATAAGGCTTAGTTGAAAATCGAGTATATTATTACAATGCAAATTGTATCTCATTATTCTTTGATCAACAGGAAACCAAAAGAAATGCATGCGCCCGCGTATGCATGTTGCATGCATGCACAAAGTAGCATTTTTGTCTGAGAAGAATGATTCTCATTCCTCAGAATTCTGCCAAATGGAACAACAAACAATAATAGAGGGTGTATCACACACACAGACACACAAAGTTCCTGTCTTCTGTATGTATATGTGTCGGTTATGCATGAAATTGCCAACAAAAACTGAGAGATTCTGTGTCTCTATCACCGTAGTGCAATGCATGAATGCCGGGCACCAAAACTACTGATCTCTCTCTCTCTCTCTCTCTCTCTCTCTCTCTCTATGCATTCCTATGCGTATTGTTAATTTCAAAAAGGGTCATTTTATATAGGGAGATTATTGAGAGAATATTAGAAAGAGGAGGGCGTGGGGTGGTGGTGGTGGTGGTGGTGGTGGGTGCTGAATTGACATGCCACGACAAGCGAGTAGTGTCTCATACATCACCTTTTTGAATTTGGGTGAGCAGGCGAGCGAGAGTGTTTGTTTGTTGTTGGAGGGATATTGGAGTAGGGAAGAAGAAAGAAGAACACACGTACTGCAGAGTATTGATGCTGGTCAGGAGCAGATCATAAAAAATCATTAAATGGATTTGTCTCCACATTTTTTGGAGCATATGGGCGAAAATTGAGATGCCCATAGTAGTGGAATGGTGTGGCTCACATCAGATCAGCTTTTTTTGCGTAGCTTTGCGCATGTGCAGCTTCCATTGAATGGACTAGTTAGTCTCAGTGTCAGGAGTTAGCTCCGCCTTTTGGACCCTTGATGTTGGTCTCTAGTGTCGTGCTGGTGCTTGAGCTCATTTATATTGCACTATGGGTTCTCATACGGCAGCCGTACGTACAGCTTTATGTTAACCTAAATTATCTAACAAGGACCATCGTTGCCGGTTGGTTCCGCGCTCTCTGATTTGCTTGTCTCTTTTCCTTCATTGATGACCTCTGGAATCTTCTTCTTTCTTTTTTCACCTCCATATGCCCAGCTGCCACTTGGGGTTCATTCGTCTCATTAATTCACTGTACGCCCATGGTGGCTTTGGCTTTGTGCAAGTAAATAGGTTCGTGTGGTGTTGGTTCGAAAAACGTGTCTCATCAATTATTGTGGATTATTATTCTTCCCCCTGCAGTGCCAGCTTCGAAGTATTTTAGGTTTTGAGCCCTGCATCTTCAGAAAACCTATCTCATAGACTCATACGGTGGCTCTGGCTTTGTGTAAATAAATGTTTATTATTGTTCAACAAAAACAAACGCATGTGCTTGCATTTAGTGTTGTGCATATCGCAGTTCTGGCTTCGACTTTCTCTTCTTCTTCTTTTTTTTTCACCGAAGTTTTGGTTTCGAGTGTTAGTGTTTCCTTTTTCTCATGAATACGTACTACTGTTCGTTACCAGTACTTTGATATCCGAAACTGAAATACTTTCTCTATTTAAAAATATAAAATATTTTTTTAAAATTAAACGTTTAAAAATATAAAATATTTTTAATTTTTAATATATAATCATTACTTTTTTAAAAAAGTATTCCTATCAAATAAATTATTTTATATTTATTTTAAGGTAAAGCACTATATTAAATATAGGTAAATTTAAAAAGATATGGTTAGTTTAAAAATAAATAACTAATTTATTAGGGAGAAGATTTAATAAAAATATCTTATATTTTTTAATTAAAGGAGTATTTTTTAATGTGTTTTAATTATTTAATTTCTAATAACCAGAGATTTTTCATCTGCATGTATATATGATTTTATATAGTTAAGTTTGGGTTTGCACTATTTCTTGCTAAATCGAGTGACCAGAAATTGACCTCAATACTGCCAAAAAAATTTACCCATATGCAATACTTTAAAAAAATTATCCATATACTACACTTAAATAAAAAAAGGACTCGGTTTGCATGAGAACAGCTCCATTTTATCTTTTAATATGGAAGTTCAAAATTTGCTTTCTGTGGAACTGAGTTATATACTCATAGTTTAAGAAAAGAAAAGAAAAAGCGCCTAGGCACAGCCTGGTACGCATAGCCTGCAATCCACATCTCTTGTTACTTATTATTATAATTTCTTCAATTTTATTTACAAGACACATTTTAAAAAATTAATTTAATCTTATTTATGAGTCATTGTGTAATTTTTTAAATATTATTTAAAAAATATTTTTAAAATTATCCTTTTTAGAAGAAAAAAAGTAACATAACAATATTTTTTATATTTATTATATAGGAGTATATTTAAAATTTTACACATTTTTATTTTTTTAATTTTTTTTTTTGCATTGATATTGATAGATTGACAAAAATTACTAATAAAGAGGACTGGAGTAGTATTGGGCTGCATGTGAACAGGGTTAGTCATAAGTATAATAAATATAATATAAATTTTATAATTATAATTATTCAAATTATACATAATTATTTCATATTATATAACAAGTAATAAGAACCCTCTTGAGGCTATGCAAGGATAAGATTGGGCTAAGTATCACCCCTACTCGATGTCTTGCTCGATGTGCAATTTAGAAGCCTAGTTGACCCAATAAGTTTTACAAATTTTTTTTGAAAAAAATATAATTATTATTATTTAAAATATATTCTTTACATGTTATTAAGTTAGTATAAAATTCTAAATTTTGAAAGAGTGTAAAAAATTGTAATGGTATGAAGTGTCCAAAAAAATCATAAAGGTGACTTGGTTCATTTATTTATAATTTATAAAATCATATATTATAATTTAAAATTATGTAATTTTATTTTTTTGCTAATTATGTATTATTAAATAGTTATTTTATAATTACATAATTCTTGGAAGTTTATAATTATAGAATTAGTATGCTTCCTCCACCCCAAATTATAAGATAATTTTGGAGGAATTTTTCATCCCAAAATATAAGAAAATTTAATTTTTTTATTTATAATGTATTTTTAATATTACCTTTTAAGCTGAGAGAGAATTAGAATAATATTATAACATGATGATTAAATATATAGTGATGTGTTTAAAAATTATAATTTTGTTTTAAAAAAATGTAGATTATTATTATTGTATTTTAGTGATATACATAATTTTATTTTAAATCATCTTATAATTTGTAATTTGAGATAGAAAAAATATTATTTATATTATATATAACACCCACCTATATGTTGTGAAAGAAAAAGTCACGCGCGCACACGTATCAGGGGGCAGGATGGGGAAGGGAAGTAGGGAGTGGGGATGGCGAGTTATGCCTGCACACTTCACTCATCGTAAGTGAAAACTCAGTGGAATAGAAATCGAGTTCTGTACTTTTGCATTAAAAAAAAAAAAGATTTTGACACGATAAATGCCAGGTTTTAAATTTATATTATATGAGCAAATATTTTTGAAAGTATAGTATATAGGTAAATAAAAAAAAAATAGTAGTAAGGTCAGTTTGCCTTGAATGACAATTAAGATAGGTTGTTCAAAAGAGATGCTTGATTAAAATAATAACCTTTATAAATAATCTTGCACATTTTTTTTATATTTTTTCTAATTCACTAGCGCTTACTCTAATTATCTTGATTTCATCATTGATTTGTCAGTAAAAAATGAATGTATACATGAGTTTAATTAAGGCAGAGATCAAACATGATAATGAATAATTAAATAAAAATAAATGATTTAAAAAACAT